GCCGTCGTTGAATTCAATACCAAATTTGACAAAGACGGGTTTTACGATTCCAATGGAAAATCGCAGACAGCGTGGCTTTGCTTGCCTATTATAGTGTTATTGCACGGCTCGCAACTCGCTTAAGCCAAATGGGGAGAGATACAGAAAAACCGCATTATATCATGGAAATTTCGCTACGAAACTCTTCTTGCGTTAGGCCTTTCTTCTCCAGAAGCGATGATATAAAACAAGAGATTTACCACATTCCCGGGGTTCAGACGGCGGTTACCTCGCAGTAGTCTACACGTTTCTGCAAGATATATTACTACGCGAAATATAATTCAAAATGGCGGCCATGTCATATTAAAACTTATCACAAAAGATCGATTTTTTAAATCTACCACCAAAATGGAACTTATATACCTACTTTCTCCCCCAGAAAGCTAATTGCGCGACGGTTAAATCTTGCAACGAGCTTGTGTAATTTTGGACAATATGTTTCAAATAGAGTCCCTCAGGGGTCTAACTTGGGGCCGCTTTTTTTCTTGTAATTTGTGAACGACTTAGCACTTCGGTCTCTTGTCAATCATTTCTTCCTATAAAATAAGGGTTTCATTTTACGTACCTGTGGTCAAGAAAAAATGTGCGAATAGTAAATGGTTGGTGTAAAACAAAGAAGATGAAACTGTTTGTCAAATTATTTAATAAACTCATAGACAAAAGAAACAAAAATGTAACAACAGATCATATATTCCTAACCCCAAATGGTCTAAATATAATTTCAAAATGGACCCAAAATTCTGCAAGGCTCATTGGACGTGATATCAAAGCGGTAACTCGCTTGTCTAAAGCTAAAGTGTTTGACCAGGAACTTATAATAAGACTCTTCTTCAATTGGCTCTTATCTCCAACTTAATTCTACATATCACGAAAATTTGATATCAAATTTAAGATATGAAGGATCCTCTAGTTCATCAATAACTCACAATAACATTTTAACAATTCCTTCCAGTTCCTATTCAAGTCCTAAAATAATTTATAGTAATTTTGTTTTCAGTTGTTGTTCTTTGTAATTGTCAAAAACGTTGTTTTTGTGTCTGCTTAAAAAAAGTGTTTTTAATTTTGTATTTTTCACATGGAATATTATTGTTATTGTGGACAAACATCTAAGATAGTTTTGAAAATTTTAATTATCTTCTCTGGGGGCCATTTTGATTAATATTTTGTAACGGTGTGCAATATATTTTTTTAAAGAAAAAAATACTTTCAAATGTGTGATCCGCCTTGTGATAATTAATCGTTTAATAAAAAAAATGAAACTTTGACACACGGTATATAATATAAACGTCATGAACACGCTGTATAACAATCGACTATGATATATGCATAAAGTTACAAGTGTATCTTCATTTCAGGAATGGCAGGTAGTACAGTAATTATCACATCAAGTAACATGACGTGCAAATTATAGTAATTTGGAAATGAAGCAGTTTTAAATTCTCTAGAGGTAATCTACAACTATAATGAACAAAGATTAAGAACGTGAGCTCTACAAAAAAGTTCTGTGTTTGTATGAGAAATTAAGTGCAAATGTTCAGAACTAATTTTTTTGTAGATAATTGTAACACGATCCATTTGACGAATTGCCAATTTCATGTAATTTTTATGTTTCATGGCGTCTAGAATTCGTAAAAGTAGGTCTCCCGCTTCTACTTATTTGTTCATGGTTTGTTGACGATTTTATTATTATGCAAATAATTTCCGAAAGAAACTCTTAGATTGACTGTTACGAAAGTTTAGATGGTAAAACGTTCATCAAATTTTGTTTAATCATCCTCATCGAAAATTTGTTGACGATGTTTCCAAAATTTGGTAAAATGAGGTAACTCGTCTTTATAGTGCGCAAAAAATATACTTCTGTTTTTAACCCTATGCATGTAATTTTTTGGAAAAATATTCAAAATTGTATAGTTTTGGAAATTTCATTCTATCCTATAAAATTTGATTGACAATAACCAGACAGTAGTACAATGAGAAGGTATACTTATGGCTCACACCAGGTCACCCGAATTTGTAGGAGAACATTAAGCAGGACACGGATTCTTCTACTTTTAACATTTGGTGATTACCGGTACGCGACAACTTTAAGTAATAAATATCCCTTGCTATTGTACTACTGTCCGTCTCGCTTTTGCCAATAAAATTTTATAGGGTAGAATGAAATTTCCAAAACTATACAAGTAACTAAAACCCATAAAACTGGTGCCTCCTCCGAAAATCTTAATGAAAGTTTCAAAATTTTTGTTTCATCACATTTAGGGTGAGATGCTCCTTTATTTCGGTTTAACAATGTATCCAATTTTTATATTAACTACCATATAGGGGTTGTTATAAAAATTAAATATGAAACATTAAACTTATTATTTATCTAAGAAAAGGAACGTGTTTGGTTGCGCTTCCTATTCGGGGGAAGTTCTTTCTGAGTTCCCCTAATGAAAATCAAAAACATATAATTTGAATTATTTGAACAGAGTTTAAACCATATTATGAAACTATAACATTAAAAAATTTTTGAGCATTGGTTTTCAAAGATATGTAGCCATGACGTCACAGATTTTCCAGCAATGGATAACAACATATTTTTCTATAACATTTATGAAATACTGACATTATGTACCCCTTTACAGTTACTGAAACATTACATTTTTTCCTTGAGTCGTTAAATATTGTTCCCACGAAGATTTACATAGTTTAATCTTCTTAATTCTTTTGCTTTCTAGCATCTGGTGATTACCGGCACGCTACAACTTTAAGTTGTAAATATCCCTGGCTACCGTTCTTCCCGTAATACTTAAATTAAACATACTCTCTACTTTTTCGTCTTTTTAAACTAAACTGGTGGTAAAGTACCGAATCATCTGTCTGTATGTCTGTCTTTCTGTCTGTCCGTCTATGTCGATTTTTATTAGACAAAACTATTGGATCGATTGTTGTCAAATTTTGTGTGTATATTAGGAATATCAAGTATATGGTAAAACGCTAACCAAAATTTGGCTAATAATCCCCACCAACAATTTGATGACATCATTTTAAAGAATTCTATTTTAAAATGACTTGAATGTTATACAAGAATATACTCCAATATTTGTGTAGGAATCCGCTTTGAGTTATTCCCCTAAACGTGAAAATTTTCGCTAAAACATTAACCGAGTCCTTAGTTTTGTACTTGGCCTTTTATTTTTTCTCTCTTGCGCTGCGGCAGTATTATCTATGTTGATGACGTCATCACAAATCTTTAATTCATCAATTAAGAACCAGCGGATTGTCTCGAAAATTTGAAAATAACTACGCACGTCTTTATTTAATAATGATAAAATAAGAATTGTAAAATATAATATTCAGAACATTTTGTTCGATTGTGACTTAACTAATAATTTTAGTCATCTGTTTCGAGGAGACAAAGCCATTCAAATTATTCATAAACACTTGAAGTTAAGCATGCTATTATTGCTGAAAGAACACTTTTTCGCGTTGGCTATCTGTTGATGAATCTCGCTGAATTTAATCAGGCTATAGAATTAGAATAATAACTTGCTGTTGGCTATTGCTTTTTTCAAAAAATCGGTTTGTATAGCTTCTGCGACTTTCAAAATCTTCCACTTCCATAAAAATAAATAGTTGCAAACGATCTTCAAAAACCATGCCCCGTATATGCTCTTGGATGTCTGTCACTTTCCAAGATTAATTTTTCCTGCAAGATGATTAACACATTTTCCCTTGCATTATGCACAAAAAACACGCCGATTTTTGTAACTAATGCACGAATAACTATATAGTTTCGGTAAAATTTCACATACTCTCTGTTGCCAACGAATTTTCCTCATACGTCATTTTTCATTTCAGTAATTTTCACCATCAGTATCGTTGCTGAATATGATACGGTACGGTACTAGCTTAATTTTGAAAATGTTGTTAAATTTGTCGCTTGCTTCTGGGTGTCCGCAATAATATAGAACAAAGCTTATAATGTTCACACTCATCAGGCTGGCAATAAAATTTCAATTGTGAGTTATTGTTTCGTTCCAATTTTATTGACTGCGGGCGGCTAAATTGTTTCAAGTTTTTTTATGTTGTGTCACCTAACAAAAGTGTTCTTTTCGCAAAGTTTTACTGTAACCTTAAAAAATGCATTAATGGCATTGGAATGTTGTCTGCATACGCCTCACTTTTAAATGGGTTTAAAAGTTATTTGGGAAAAAGAAAGCAACAGATCAAGGGTGACTATTGTTTATTAAAAAATATTCGATATGTACGTTATTCATGGTTCCATATTTAAACCGAAATTATTTTCAGTTTATATTAACGATCTTGAGAGTAATTTTTCTGACGTTAGTTTTGGAAAATCTGTCACTGTATTTATTTCACCAGTTTATTGCAATTTAAAAATAAGATAAACAAGAATACTGAAGGAGAAATGTTGAAAACGGTCCGTTTTTTACTGGAAGTGCATTCCCACGTTTAAGAAAGTTAGGTTATGATTGACATTTTTGACAAGCTAACTTAATGTATGATCTTTTGTAATCACCTTGTATAAACTTTTGACAATACGTATGCCATTCTGAATTCTATAAAACTGAATGTGCTGCAACGTAAAACTGGGACTCCTACTTTATCTTGCGTTGAAATTTATATAATCAATTTTATTCATTGTATTCTCCCATAAATAGCTTGCTTGTCGCTTGCAACTTATTTGCAGGGGAAATTGGCTACTAATACGTGATTGAAAAAATGTTTTAATTACTTTAAAGTATAATTGGAAGATTTAACTTACAATCATTAATAAATTCCTTATGTTTATAATTCCTTTCGCACAATTCCTTGCAATAAATTTAACATACTAGTAACAACGTCGTCGGATTGACCGCAAATTTAAGAATTCTCTGTTGCTCGTAGACAACGTATACTCATCGTCAAAGATCACAGTTCCCAGCCAAAATTAACTCTCCTCTTTTTTGTTCCAGGACGAAAATATGTCTGGCGGCGAATCCAGCGACAGCAGTGACGCCGACGCGCACGAAGAAGAAAACGACATCGTCTACGTTCCTCCGTCAACCAAATCCGCCACACCCCCGCCGGCCACCACGTCCCAGTCCAGCACCGCCTCCTCCACCGCCTCGACGACGACCTCCACGTCCACCGCGCCCGCCACCACCGCGTCCTCCAAGTCGTCGCCGTCGCAGCCCATCCTCTCGCCCCTGCTCTACCAGACCCCCCAGGGCATGATGTACGCCACGCCGTCCAACGGCGGCGTCATCTTCAGCCTGGCCCAGGCCGACCCCACCTCCGCCCACCCGCAGTTCATCACGATACCGCTGTCCATGGTGGCGGCCAACGGCCAGGGGGAGCTTGACCTGTCGAAGCGGAAGTGACCGGCGAATAAGATTATTGGCACGTTGCGGGCTTCCGTCGACTTTGTTTCGTATGTGCGCTTCTGTTCTGCCTGTTTCCTTTTCCGGTTGCCGGAGCGGACGGTGCCCTTCGGGGACGTGATGTGCCCGTTTCCGTATTCAAAAATCACGGAGGTAGGACACGCGATACTTTGTCGTATTTACTTGCCGAGCTGATGGCTGGAGGTGTTGCAGAAAGGGGCGATGAGAGGAGTCCTGCGGCACGACCTTCGCTTCAAAGCAATAGTCACTATGTAGTCTGTAGGGGGAGGATCGGGCGGGTCCGAGTACCACTTCGACGTAACAGAATCGAAGGGATTATTGTAGTATTGCGATTTTTCGGGCATGTTATGTTGCTGTGGTATTATGTAACGTCTAATGTTTCTTGTTGTACATGGTTTGATATGACTATGCAAAAGTTAAACGGAAAAAAGGTTGCAACGGTCGTGGTCAATGTAGGTAGCAAGAGGTTGGTTTACAGGTTCGATTAATCTTATCGTTACTCACTTTGAGCGAAAGTACTACTGAAGGACGAGGTGTCACATTTTCGAAAATACTGTAGACGCCAATTTCGCTAATAATCTTGTGGTATTAAAAAAAATATGGATTAAAACCAACTAGCTTCATTAAAAAGCATTGCAGTTTTTTTTAAATTAATAAAAATGAACATTAACATAAATACTGATGTTTCAAATATCGACATCTGTGTCTAAAACAGGAAACTGTTGTCGTCGTTGTCAAAATAACCGGATTTGGTGATGTTTGATGATTTGTGATTAAAACTGACAACGCTGCTTCTAAATTTGACTAGATATGGTAGAAAATCTATTATTGAATCACGATTCTTCTGAAAATTTGACAGTTTTACAAAACCGCTACTAAAATTTCGATTTATAGCTTATAGAGAATGAAATACAAATGTTAAACAGTGAAAACTGCAGCTTTTTAGTATTTGCACTTTTCGATTTCGATTCAGAATGCGATAACGTATGACGTCATAGCAATATTCAACAGCTTCGGGATGTGTTTTTTCAGCACTGCGTTATTTCCGTGTAGATCTTTTTGTCGTTATATATATTTAGACGTAATCTAAAGAACACGATAATGAGCGGAATTACTATCTAAAGCGAACGGAAAATATGTAAAAATAATTCTTTGCATCCATTGGATAGAACGGAAAAAAGGTAGATTTTCTAAAATTCTCGCTGTGGATTTTGCCGGGAATTTTGAGTCTGAGTCTCACACCTCGAATAGGCGGGATATCGCAATGACGTCACCCGCAGATTTATTTCTCTGTTGTTATTACATATGTTTGTTTCTTCTTTTAGAAAAGGTATCAGTATGCGTTATTTTTTCACGTCGATTCCAATCCTTAATTATTTTTTTTGACCTTTCATTTAATTATATGTAACTTCTTCAAAATGACATGAATTATTTTTGAAAATATGGAAAATCAAGTAATTTTATACGAATTTATTTCTTCTCACAAAGTGACAGTAGGTATTTGGAACATGGTACATTTTTTATTTGATACCTAGTTTAGAAGTAATTTTTTGTATTAGAAGTTTCAAATTTTAAGATTTTTGTATAACTAGTTCCTACGTGTTGTTAGCATAAACTTTTGTTTTTTTTTCTTTTCTATTTTTCTACTTTTGTGTCTAATAGACTTCCAAACAGTTATTAATGTCAGGTATTCATTTTGAGAATACAAGCTCTTCTACAGTGAATTTACTAATCTAAGAACACAATACTCTATGATCGAAAAAATATGAATTACAGTTGATTGTCACTTCGCCTTTTCAGTTGATAACTGTACTATAAATTTCACTTTTATAGTTCAGTGTATTTTGAAGTCGTAGCTAACTTTGATTGACAGTTGTATAATTTTTCTCTGTTAAGATACTTATATGTATTATTCGTTAAAAAAAATAATAATAATTCTTCAATTGTCTGCTTAAAACAACTCACCGTAGGTGACTGACTTGATAATACCATATGATCCGAAAAAACCCTCTAGTAGGCTATGAAATTAATTTTTAAAATAATGTTGTTGACATTACAGCTATTTGCAACATTATTTGACACTTATTTAACCGGACCTGTCAAATTGAACAAGGAACGCGTTGATATTGTCAACATCATTACTTTAAAAATAAATTTCATGGCTTACTAGATGACTTTCGATCATACGGTAGATGTAAGCATTTATGCAAATTTATTGATTTTGAAACCATGAAAACAAACAAGTTCATACTACACAAAAAACTGTATGTTGTGCGAATATAATATAAACAACTAACTTTGAACCAAAGAAAACTTTAAGGCCGAATTTTCAGAATTACCATCACTATCAAATGTAAAATCTATTCATCCGGAATTTCCTACACATCCTTCTAAATAAAATGTACACATTTTTCAAAAACACAAAGGATTACATAAATTTTGAGACATTTCCTAATGGTTTTTCAATTGTCCTATAGTTAGTACAGTTGATATAAAGTAAAAAAAAATCAATCAAATTTATTAAAGAATATTTGTTGAAATTGCAATAAAAATAGAAAAATTTTTGAGATGACGTCATAAACACTTTCCTAGTGATATTATCCAAATGTATTCATTTTCAAACACATAGAAATGAATATTTTCATAGTTTTTTCTAAAACCGTACAGTTGGGGTCAGGAAATATTGGACGTCAATGTCATTCCACTGTAACAAAGTGTAAAAACACCTTAATTTTTTACTTTTGTCATTTTTGACATTACGGGAATGTTGACATTTAAAACTCAAAGGTCAAAGTGACATGAGGCATAGACTACACCAAAATTCTCAAAATGACAGAAAAATGACGTCGAAGAATTTCTGGCCGCAACTGTATATAAATGTGCGTTTATAAATTGACCCATTTTTTCTAATGGAGTTATGTGCAAGCATCAATACGTAAAAAGTAGTAAATTTAGAAGCATTAAATGCAACTTAACTGGCAAATTTTCCGAAAGTACGAAATATTCACCATGAGTATATGAAGAATTCGATTAAGATAAATACAGTTACCAAGTATGACCTGCGTTGTATTTTAAATACAATGTTTCCGCATAAGTGTGACAAATTTGATAATTGGCTGTAATTACGCATATTTACCAAGCACTCTCGCCACAAGCCAAACTTTCGTTCATATATTGTACTTCTGTCATCTCTTTCTAATTATTACGACGTAAAAACAGATTTTTCCTAGTGTGAACTGCTAAATTCAATTCGACGTCCACTATATCCAAAAGCTCTACGAAACGTGGATATAATTAATTATCAATAATTATAAATAATTGCCTGTAATTAATTATACATATTTTTCACTTTTCATATGTTTGTGTTATGATTTACAGACATGAATATTAATTATGTTAACTCTAAAATAAAAATTAATCGTCAACGTCATTTATAAAAACCATTTTTTTCGTTTTCCTGGATTAATATCAGATGATCATTTAAATCAGACGTGGAACAAGGTCATGACGAAATGTCAACGATTCGGCAATTGTCATTTACCACATTTTAGGTTAATGATTACTGTCAATTAAACGTTACAATCATGATCATCAAATCACACCATTTTAGTGTTACAGATTTGACAGCTACGATTTACGTGTTGTGAAAATTTTGACTTTTCATGGTGATAATTTTTTATTTAAAATTCAGAGTTGATTTACATTCAATTTCTCATTAACTCTTAACATTATGTTCTTAAGTCTGTTTGCACCTTTTTTTCGTTTAATTTTTTCACAGCATTCACCATTGTATTTGTTACAAACGGTGCTAAAAGATAAATATAGCGCTTAATTTCACACAAACAAAAATGCATGAAGAAATTGTATTTAACTTCAGTAAAAATTTTCAGTACGAACGAAAAGTCTAGACAAGTAAATTACATCATGGAAGGTTGTCTAGAAAAATACTAAACATAGGTAACCACATATTTATAATAGCCGTGTAATTGATAAGAGCGGATAGTGTCGAAAATGATCAGAGAATGACAAATAGATGTCGTTGTAATCGTCAATTCTCGACCCAGCTGAATTGATTCGTGGACGCCCGCGATCTCACATTTGCTTGAAATCGCACCAAATTACTCGAGAACATATTTGACTACAGAACGACTATTTGACGTTCGCTTTTTATTCGCTGTTGTGTAAATCGGCCAAAGATCTATGTTTGAATAACAAATTCGTTGTCGTATTTGTTAATACGAAAGTACCTAATTTAGCGTAACTGACCTCCATGATAACCATTTTTCGAACAATTTGTTTGTCGATGTTGTGCTACCTAATTTGATGTTATTGTTACTTACGAATAAAACCGACAATAAATACTTGCCAAATTATAGAGTGGAGTAGTACTTATTAATTTATTATTGTGAATTATCTGTGAAATACAATATTTAGTTTTTACTCAATTAGACTGACTTTTGTTGGAATGAGCGCCAAACTGGTGACCATTTCGGCAGTTTTATCTCTCTGCTTGTGTTATATGCTAGTCAATATTGCTAGTGCATAAATTATTAGTGTTTTGTATGTAGATTGGTACCTATACATATTATACTAATTTTGTTAGTATTGTCGCAAAAACGTTTCGGTCGTCGATTTCCATGGCATTTCTAGCTGCTTCCTTAAATTACTTACCGAACATTCCAAAACCAGGGGCAATGTTTTCTTTTGCAGGATTTCTTTTAATGGCCGCCGTCGGTAACAACGCAGAAACGTTTTTGACGAATTGTTGAAAATTTTTTTATTTATTAACTTATTGGATAAAACACTTTCATAATTAAACGTGCCTTTAGATAATATACTTGTAACATATCTTTTTTGATATTTATCGTATTTACATAATAAAATTTATGCAAATCATAGCTCAAACCATTACGCCTTTTATTCTTGTATCCTTGTAAGCCTTAAACTGCCACTCATGTAAATAGAACTTTATACATATTACGTTTTAAAAATAGAAATAAAGTGTTCTTTCTTTTGTAAAGCGAAGATAACGCTCTGTATTTATATTTCGTGCCATATATAACTGCAAAAATAAAATTTGTTATTATGTTCTGTTTTTCTGCGTTCCTTTGCTCTCTCTCACTCACACTCGTACAATTTTCCTTACCGCTTCGGCGATGCGTTTATTTTTACTTGCGACTGAAATAGTCAAACGTCTGCTCTACTAGTCTTAGATGTGTTTGGAATTAGATGTGCTTGCTCCGTTAAGAACATTTCCTTTCGGTTTATATTTTACACTAGCGTTATTTTTAGGAATCCGGCCTTTGCTGCGAAAATAAATTCTAGCTTGGACGTAATACACCAACATCATTTTTGTGCAATATATCACGTAACACTTCTTTATTCCATTTCATGCTTCCGGCGTCTGGGCTTGATTTTTAAACGAAAAAGTAGGTGGATGTTCGAAAAAGAAGATTTTCTCTACAACGAAAGCGGATTTTTATTTTTAACTTTATTTAGCATGGAAGTACAAAAATATCCAAATGGTATCCGGCGCCACTACTTACAGTTTCAGTTGGTGCCGTAGCCAAAAAATTAATGACCAAAAATAGCATTTATTTTAAGTGTCGCTTGAAAGTTTTTGGTTTTAGATCAAACACTCAATATCTAAACCCAAAAGAATTTTCAGCACAACTGAACCATTTACCATGGAATTTGAGATGTATTTTAAAACTGTCATCGCCAATAAAGTTTTGATGACCTCACATCAAAAGCTTGCTAAGTAAATCGTTTCTAAATTATGTAAAATAGTACAAGTGTACATGTTGTATTTTTTTTTTTTATAAAATTTCGAATCAAACAATTCTGAGAAAAAACGTGGACCTACATCGTGTGGGCTTCTGAAAGCGAGAAAAACACTGTCCAAACTCGACGCCATATTTTTATTTCCTTTGATGGTTAGTCGCACCAAAATATTTATGACTTAAAAATAGTCATTCGCTTGTGAATACATATTTTAAAACACTCGATGTAGACAAAAGCCGCTATTTTTCCGTCGGGTATCAAATCACCAACTTGTTACAATGACAAAAGTCACTTTCAAAAACTAGAATTATTATTCTGGGGATAAATTCATATTTATTTAAGACAACAAAGCGCATGATGCAACGAATCTTTTTTTAAATCTGGCTGACGCATTTAAATCGTACTTATTTCCTTCTTCAACATCTAAAATTAATTCTTTGTGTACCCGAAGTTTTCAGCATAAAAGCAGGCAACTTTCAGTCACGTTTTCCGTCTGTGATTGCTGGTTGCTGTCGTAAAACTGTTTTGAATAATTTTTGTTTTATGATTCTGTAATTACGGAGAATTTTTTGCCACTATCTAATTTATGAAAGCATAATTTTCAAAATTAGTATGTTAATAACGCAAGAGATATATAATCAAATATGCAAAAAGTGGGCAACATAATCCTGATGTGTATTTACCATGGGAAAGTAAATTAGTTTCTAACACCCTTAGTTCTTTTAGTTCGACATGGAGGTTGC